AGCGGGGAAAAGACCACCCCCACATCCCGAGCAAAAACATGAACTGCACTTACGGGACTAATGACCCTGGTAGTTGACGTGCCCAGAAATACTAACAATCAAAGTATCAAAACGATTCTTAAAAGACATGCTTCGTATATTAAATACGCTTTTGAAACTAATGCTGAAACAGCACACCGAGAAATAGCAAGTGGATGATCTTCTTTTAAGGTCAAACTTTGACCATATTTTATTTAAAAAATAGTATTCTAATTGAATAATGTAGGTGAAGGAAGACGCCCAAAACTTAAATTTTTGAATATAAGAAAGTTCAAGGAAAAGCGAACATGCATCACTTTCATAAATCGTACTTTGCTCTGAGAATGGAATTATAAAGGAAAGAATTGGAGTCATTTTATAAACAATTTTGGAACTGTCGTTGAGGCTACATGTAGTGTATACCCAAAAATCAAATTATTCGTTCTAAATTAAAGGGGCCATGTCATCAACGAGATCCATCGGTAACATCAAGTTTGGTGAAAAATCCTTTATGGTGTAGTTCGTTCGCGTTCGCATACGGACAAATGATTTTCCGTAAACCAATTTTTCGGTATCGAAGACCCACAAAATGTTCTTACTACACAACGTGATAGAGGAAGTATAACACTACAAAAATCGCTATTTTCTGCTGCAGCATTACACAACATTTCCTGTGGGTTGTTATGCGAGAAAGTAATAAGTGTCCATTTCAAGATAAAACTTGTTTTTGCTTGAAATGGATCATTCAGAGACTTATGACCTGATTTCGAGGAACGTAAAATGTTTAGGAGTGCCGCAGACTTGCCCTGCGGAGTTGTTAACGTTTTGACTTTCTAAAGGATAGATTTTTAAACTTTGTCGTTTATTTGGACCCTCTTTAATTTCTGTTCTCATTACGACCAGATATTCTTGTCTTGGTCGTTACTAATTGCAGCTGTCAATTTAAACTTTCTGGCATTTTGTAGTAGGCGTTACTTTCATGATATAAGCATAGGCACATTTTTTTGCCTTACCTTCGTTGTAAAATTAGGGTGTCAAAATTCGCATCTTTGAGATTGTTTCCTTTGCCTGTCATTATCATACCCTATTTTTTTCTCCGCTGTTTTCAGCATTATCCTATGATCTTCTCTTGATATATTGCCTTTACTCATCTCTCCTTCTGTTGCCGACCCCGCCCCTCACCCCGAGGATGCCTTCATCTTCAGACTCCTGTCAAGCGGATGCGTACCCACGAAAGAACATTGTTAGGAAGGGCACACGTATAGAACGTTGCCAAGTCACTAAAAGTAGGGAATTTAGTTTTGAACTTTTTCTCAATGACGACTTGCCAAGAAACGCTTAATGTTTTTATGGGTGAAGAAAAAACTTCCGGTTTGTGAATAACTCACAGTTTCACATGTTCTTGGCGGTTTAGAAACATTGTTACGAGACAGTGAACTTTTATCTGAGTTCGTGCTCTGTGTGTGGTGCATTCGTAGAAGTTAGAAAAGCACAAATCGGGGGAGAGAACAGTAACTTCTTCGATAAATCTGAAAGGGAAGGGCTGTGCTTTACTAGTGCTGTAGATACCTCTTTGTTGCGATGCGGAAATCGCCTATAGTTCAGAGATAAGTTCAGAGTAAAGTTTCTGGGTCTGCTGAGTTTCGCTTCCTTGCAACTGCAGAATCGAATTTCAGAGATTTATAGGAATACGTCATTAACAATTATTATATTCTCACAAAATTCAAACTTCTAAGAATCGATCTTAATACCGTCTGGCTGTGTAAGACATTGCCCTTCTCATCAGCGGCACCTTGTTTCCATATATACATTTGGGTTCAATTTATATTCCAGGAATTCCCCATCAATGTCTGTGGATTTTATTTCAATTTCCCAACTTCGTATTTGCGTAGCAAACCATTCTTTGGGTGTATCCCGGCGTCACTGCTGGACAGTGCATGAAGTGGTGAACTTCTTATCCCGCATGACCTTTCATTGCGTCGAATAGGGCGTGTTCTCTAGGAGTCAGATCCGGCGAATATGAACAATATGGGATCTCGTGGAAGATCCATGACTCGCCGACAATGACCAGATGCCGAAAGAACTCCGCCAGATCTGCACTGAACTGTTAAACCAAAAACTGGCACACCTCCAAAATCCATCTTCTGTTTTTACACAATGGTGAGGATATGGGGCACGTATTGTGCACACACCTGCATTTTCAAATCCTCAAAGATGATGGTGTCGAGAGTTCTCGTGATAGACCTGTAGCCTTCTCAAATTCATCAAACGTGATTCGCCTGTTGGTCATTGTACAGTCATTGTCGCAGTGGGCATGTTTGTTTGGGGTGCAGGTGATGGGAGCCCAGTGCTTTGCGTTTTCCAGCACTGTCCCTATCGTCTTTGAACTCCGATATCAAACGAAACAGAGATCTGAGACTTGGGGATGACTGTCGTCCCCTCCCTCAAGGCAGCAACGAATGCGGCTCGTTCTCCATCATTCCAATTCACCGCACTTCTACCATGCATTGCTTTAATCTCTTCTAGCCAACTCTCCTCTCTACCGCAGTCGGCATCTCCGACACCATCACTATCACGGCCGCTTCCGCGCCCGCCGCAGTCGCTGCTCGAGGACGTTAAAATCTCGTTTCCTGTCAGAATCCTGAAAGTCGAGTTGGTTCGGGCATTCATTCGGCAATAAACCGGGCGAGTCGTTAAACGGCGGCGGCTGCGGAGGAGGAGAGGGGATCGGACGAGAGAGGCGCGGGAAGAGCCGGCGGGCGGACGGAAGCCAGAGCGGCGCGGCGCGGTGGGAAAGCCAGCCTTGGACCCGTAAATCGGCAGCGCCGTCGATCTATGAATCGACGATGGGTCGTGAAGCGCGCCAGTACATCGCACGTGTCGCCCGCGACGCCGCTCTCCCACGCCCCGCCCCGCTCCTCCCCGCCACGCCACGCTCCTCCCGCCCCGCCCGCTCCCCCCGCTCCGCCCCGCTCCGTCCGCCCCATCCCATCCCACTCACCCCACCCGCCCCGCACATCCCGGCCCCCGCCAAACCCCTCCCCTCCCCATCCCGCTCCGCACCACCCCACCCACCCCACCACGCCCTGCACCGCCCGCCCCGCCCCGCCCCGCCAAACCCCTTCCCACCCCGCCCCGCTCTGCCTCGCGTCGCCACCACCATCCTCGTCGTGCCGCGCGTTGCCCGCGAGAGCCGCCCCCGCCACCGCTCCAGCCTCCGCGTCTCTGTCTCCGCGCGTATGGGCGAGGCGTTAGCGGGCTCGTCGCCCATACGAAGCGAGGCATAACTTCGCTCGCTCGGTTTTGAGTTACGACGTGCGTGCGCGCGCCCATTCATCCATGTCCGCGCTCAGCCGCTTGACGACGACGCCGCGACTCCCGCCTCCGCGGCGGCCGCAGCTGCTGCCGCTGTTGGCGATTGCCCGCGCGAGCACCGCGCGACGAAGTCGGCGGCTGCGCCCACGAGCACGTGCGCAGGAGGAGGCAGCAGCAGTCTCTCTCAGGTTCTGGGGCTCAGTTTTTGGCCCTTCTTAGCCCTGCGGTCGACGTTTCAACCCACGATAAATAGCACTTGATTGGATTGACCACTCATCCACGACGCTCGCGAAATGACTGTTGGAAAGAACACTTCACGCACAGTGTGAAAGGGGAGTATCTTTCTGCCATGACGGGCAACTTTACATTCAACAAACGGCACCCATCATATGTACATTTTAAACCTAACACCAAATTAAAATTAATTCGGCACATCCTAAATAATGCATTCAATACTGTCAGGAATTGACTAAACTTGTGTACTTTCCATAACATGCGAAATCCATTAAGATCCATCCAGATGCAGACAGAAAATTGGTATTACCCCCAGAGTCTAAATCCGCGAAGGGGTGGGCTGTAGAGACCCGTGCACTCCCCACCGCCCTTCGCTGTGCAGGGCCATCGCTCTGCAGTGTAAACCAGTGGCTCTATCTACGAGGATTGCGAGGCGAAAGCGCACGGAGCCCAATGTTGAGTGACGCCAAAGAGAGCGCTGGACGAGCGCTCTTTGATTTGAAAGTGATTTATTATAGGAGGGTTGGAGCGTAAGGCATAACAACTGTTTTTTTTGTGAGATTACGAGCACGGATAGATAATGTTAAATACACATGAAAGAACATATGAACTAAGTGTATGAACAGTTAACGACACGCGGAAATTGCGTTTCTTATATTAAGGTATTTGAAATGACAGTTCTAATTTAATGTTCGAAAGCATTTTAGCACATACGAGTTCACAACATTCCAAAAGAATTGGATACTCGTTCTAAAGGCCAGATTAGGTAGCTGCTCGATTACCGCACGGGTGACAACGTCCCGCACACTCATAAGTCGTCACATGTGTTGCTTGTCACTGGCCGCCGCAGAAACTCCTACCTATCTTGCCACTGTCCGTAATGGAAGGACATTATTCACAAGATGACATTTTCGTTCATTCTCCCATGAATAACGCCCCATGAATATCTTGGGGTAAGAGCGCTGCTTGAAACAGGTTACATTTATCTCGCGTGGCGGCAGTCAAGACAACTGATTTCACATTGCTCTCTGTGCTAATAGAGACACAAGACCATCTGTTGTGAACACACATTAGTACAGCATTTTTTCCTACGACAAATGAAACTGGCTGCTCTGGTAACAATTCTTTCAGAAAAAAGAATAGTTGCCGACATCTGCCCCAACCCTTCAATATCAATTTTCGACATATTGTAGCAATATAGAATGACATTTACTGGAAAATGTGTATCGATTTGTTCTCTATTTGTTTCGATTATGTTTCGATTTGTTTTCTATTATTTGAGGGTTGTGAACCTCAGCACGAGTCACCACTGTAGAATGGTGGTGTGAAGTGCATAGTACACTCGTTCCATTGCAGGTCTTCATTATGTATAAATGGTGGTGTTATGCCAGCTCCGTACTTCTAATGATGCATTGCTTATTCTATGTGCACAGGTGATCTTCTACGACAGCGACTGGAACCCGACGGTGGATCAGCAGGCTATGGACCGCGCTCACCGTCTGGGGCAGACCAAGCAGGTGACGGTGTACCGCCTCATCTGCAAGGGCAGTATCGAGGAGCGTATCCTGCAGCGCGCGAGGGAGAAAAGCGAGGTAAGTGTCCTGGACGACCTATTTGATACTTTCTGCCTCGACGCTGCGAATTATCAGTGTTGAAGTCATTTTCTAATTCCTTGTGTAATTTTTTTTACGTCCCTAAGAAGACAGGTTCTACAAAGTATTGTGTTTTGCAGACTGTAACTCCCAAATTTTAGAACTGATGATATTGGACTTTTAGAACTTTGTTTGAAAATCGAAAAATATAATATGTAGTCTTATTACAATGTATTTTCTTGGCATGCCATTGTCGATATCTATTTTCATTTTTATTCACAAAAGTTTCAGAAATCCAAAATGATTTTCCGGGTCAAATTGCTCTTGGGTTCGTGTCAGCATGTACGAGTATATTTCGCAAATGATTTCTTGCAATCCAACGCTTCAGACTATCCCGATCTTTGATGGCCACCGTTTCAAGAACATGCCCTAGTCTTACGAACCCTACGACCAAAAAAACTATACATTTAGTGAGATGTATAAACATACACAAAATTATTCAGTGGATTTGATTATACATAATTTATCTTCCCCATGTCCTTGACGTTCTCAACGCTTGTGCGATGATGCGTTTTTCGATTAGAGGCTATGAAGTGGGGAACATTTAATTACAACCACCCGGTTGTGGACAGATATGAGTTTAACTGGTATTCGATCTGTTAACTTATTTACGAGTTTCTAAATATAAAACTCTTTACAGTTACGTTACGTTAAAAGTACGCCCTCCCTCTACAAAACGAACAATTTTTTTGGGTGTTTGTGGGCAACTAATGTCTTTTGTAATGCTTTTAATTAGTATCTAACATTTTTGTTTTTATGTCAACATTTGATGCATATCGCTAAAATTTTTCTCTTTTATAATTTATTTTTATGATACGTCTATCGAGTTTGGTGCTTTCTGTATATGTAATGCTTCTGACGTTTTTTTAAATTTTCCCCCTTTAAAATTGAAGATCTTTCACACAGTTTTCCCGTTTTCCCCTGGTCGCGTAAGGCATATACTGGGATTTGAGAGTTCAGGGACAAGACATGTTTGTTATCTATTATGATATTGCTAAATGTATCTTAAAAAATTCTTATTTTCAGTTTTATGATATTAAATTTTGTGTTACATGGGTAGGTGGCCCGAGTCTCAGTGCATTATTATTATTATTATTATTATTATTATTATTATTATTATTATTATTATTATTTGTAACAACCTAAGTATCATGAACAAAGCTCATAAATACTTTCGTACTTACTTGGAGATAACAATAACAATACTTAACATGGAGATAACATAATTTTACTCGAAAGGTTGTCCACTTTCTGACATGTAGGTATAGGGTTCTTAATGTACAAGTATTTCTTTCCTTCATGGGTTATCTTTCTATCCTCCCATCATTCGTTTTCTTTCTTGGCTACTTCCTCTTATTTCACTGACTCCCCGTATGCCGAACACAAAGTTTACCGTGCAACGCGAAGATGGACGGAATAGATTTCCCGACGATTGAGGGGTCTGTCATTATCCTTTTGCTTTTGTGGTCCTGAACTCAACCACCACACCTGGGAGGACGTTAGTTCGTATTTTCGTGACTTCGGCAGTGCCACAGTATGGCCTCGGCTTTTTCTCGACGGGCAGTCAAGAGCAAACCCACTCCGATCAATCGTTTTGGACAAGGTCTTTGAACTCCAGAATGAGGGAAGGGTGTGCGGCGGCGAAGAGAAGAACCCTGCTATTCCCCGTTATAACCCTCTGGCAACTCTGGCACGCAATCGAGGTGTCCCCTTGTTGGCGAGGACCACGGGATAAAACGTTTATCCACTTTATGGATTACAAACCTTTCCCCGTCCTCTTCTGCAAGGAACAGGTGACGAAAAGCAGATCGTGGGTTTACAAAGCTTCTTTTGTAAGAAACAATTGTAGCCCCGTTCCTTGTTTATGACTTGCAAGAAGAAGATAAAACAGTGTTAACCGCGTGAGCGATTACGTTCGCCAAAAAAGTGGGAAAATGGAGTAATGTTATTTGAGCAAGAACACCAAATGTAAAGAAATAGATGGCCTTCAGGAGAAGGTGTCCACGGCCCTTTGCAAGTGTAATAAATATTTGTCTGTACCGAGCGTGAACTAAAATCCTTTCTGGAAAGGTGTCACTTGATGTATTTAGAATGATTGGGATACTAAACCTCCCACATCGACGTTGATCCTTACCTTCGTCGGGCTTCTGCTGAAAATCACGTGAGCTCTTTGTAATCAGTAATTTGCACAAATTATTCAAAATGAAATTTTAATTTGGCCATTTCAAGAGCCAAAAGCGTGCAACTCATTTCCCGTATCGGCGCCACTAGAACAAATTGAACAAATTCTTTACATTTTACAATTTGTGCGAATGTTGCCGTGCTTTAAATTCAGATTTCTAAAGTTACTTTCATATAATTCTGAATCAATGTGCACGCGATTTCAAAGAAGGACAACATTTTTAATTACGGAGGCGCCACATTTTCGGAATGATGGCCAAAGTTTCGGTCGTCATGTTGCAACCTGTTAAGGGCCAAATGCCTGAATTTTAAGAAAGTCATTGGGGATACATACGTTTGTTTCCAATTCACTGTTTGTTTTAGAATAACCGTTTTCACAAATGTTCATCGTCGAGAACGCAAAATCACAGGGGATAGAAAGGGAAAATATTTTATACCGATTCTTGACAAAACCGTTTATTTGTATTCATAATTCACCTTAATATAAATGAGGGAGAACAAAGAGCCCAAAGCTCAAGAGACTGAGCAAAGATTGCACTTCTTTCCCGTAGTTTTTAACGTTTTTCACATTAAATAAATAAAAGTCTGCTTACTACATTAGATAGGTATTTAAAATTTTTAAAATCTAATATTGTTGATTAATTTGAATTCGAGTTTTTATTGGAGTATTAATGCACTGTCATGTGATTTTACTTTCTCGCATTCTGAATGCGCAGTATAGAGAAAATATTGTAAGAGCAGGAAAAAACCTCGGTATTTCAAGAGAAAACTTATTGGCGTGATCTGACAACGACAATGTGAATAAATCCAGTTCCTGTATGTGGTAAATTACTTTCTTTAACCCATTGTGTTGTCCAAATTTTGTGTTTTCTTGACGCCGAAAAATCGAGTGTCGCCAAAACGTGTGACTATTTGTGGTCAGATTAAATCGTTCACACGGTTGTCTCAAATATTTATATTCCGAGATCGATCTGAACGAACTCGAGGCTCTACGAGTTTGAAACGCATGTTCTGATTTTTGGTAGTACTTTACATATATTCTCACCAACATTTTCAAGCTTTTGTCATTAATTGCTCCTGTTTTTATTAAACTCTATTCTCGAATATCTCTTATCAAATTGGTCAGGTATAATTTTCTTGAAATTTTTGTTTTTTTCTAAAATTGCAGAAGTGCAATTTTTTTCGGCGTGTTCCTACAAGTACCAGTTGCCAAAATATTCTAGATAATGAATTTTTCGGAAACGAAATCTTGACAGAGACATCTTAAAGTAAGGTCTTATACAATTTTTCGAAAATATAAGCAATTTTCGCGAAATTTTGCGTGAAATTCTCTACGAATAGAACTGACATATTTTTAAATGGCGCAGGTCTTGTTATTGATGTACGCTGTGAAGTTATGAAAATTGGGAAGGATTGTCTTAATAAAACTACAATATTGATGCTAGAGATTTTTTCTTAATACCACGTGTTCTTCAAAATTATATCTTGAACTTTATATTTTTATCTTTAATTTAATCTTAATAGTCATGGATATTTTTTAAAGATTTTAGCAGTTTCATTCGAACGGAGCATAATGTGTACAAAATTGGAAATTGGAGTTATTCGAATTTCTGGCATTTCTTTTTCTAGAATCTTTCTGTATCTATCAGGTTGCAATATAATGGAAACGCCCCAATATGGTAGTTTGAAATTCTCAGAATAACTTCACAGTGTTGGGCGTGTTGTCTGCGTGTTTGGAACGGAGTTTTGGATTGTTGAATGGGTTGAATGAATTAAATATTCGCGCCTAATGCACAAATATTGGTAACGAGTTTTACAAGAGATGGCTGAGATGTGGACCGAAATTGCTGTTAGGTAAACGGTTTGATACATTACTGATGCAAGAAAGTGCTGTTGTACCGCTAGTACTAAGCTACGAAAAACTAGTTTACTAAGTTGCAAATTAGTTCTTTGAGTAAGTCATAAGTCTCTGCCGCAAATTTTGGCATGTTCTGACATGCAATATTTTTTTTTTTTTAACTGTTGATATTATATACCGTGTGGATGACGCAGTATAAGGCCTCATCACATGCCGCTTACTCCTTCGTTGTTGGCCGTGTTAACTGTCGTTACGTTTTCCAATCTCTCCCCCTCCAGGCGTCGCGCGCTTGCCATTGCGGTACCGCGTGTTCTGTGCGCGCCGTGTCCTTGTCCGTGCCCGCCTCCGCCGCGCCGTCGTGTGACGTGTCCTCGGCGATCGCAACGCCGTGCGGGCTGCGTGAGTCGGATTCTCACGTGGAGCGCCGCCGTGTGCTGGGGCTGCGCGCGCCTCGTCCCCCGCCCCCGTGACCGAAATGCTAAGCGCCGACCGGCCGGAGGGCGAGGCCTTTCCCCGAAGCGCGGAGCCGCGTGCGCGCGCGTGTGTGGGACGCCGCACACTGGGCCGGAAGAGGCTACGAGGCACGCGTGCGGAGGAACGATTTCGGCGGGTGGGAAATGAGACAATGGACGTTTTGCGAGATGGGAAGGAATGCAATAGGTCCTTTTCAACTCACGAAATATGGAGCTCAGGGAAGGGTAACGTAAGCATGAATTTAAGATCTTAAATCGAGAATGCGAGGATTACTCTGGGAAAAAGGAGTTGATAAAAAGTAGTGAAATCTAATAATATATCTCGCTCTGGGTGAAGGGTCACAATACTGCAAGGTTAGGAGCAATGACTATTAGACTGGAGACTCACATTTTTTTAGCATTTAATTAATACGTTGCAAGTTAAGAGAATCCTCGAAAGAATAGTGAAGATGGACGTTTTATTTTATTCTACGTGATTTTTGTGAGAAAAGCACGTTTTGTGAGATCCAGTTACAGAGAAGACGGACTTTTCTACCTCTTATACGTTATACATTACTTTCTCGTATAGGCGGTGCTTTCGGGCCCTTTTTATCTTCAATTTTGAATTTTCAAAAATAGTAAATGCATATATTTTTTTCTTAATCTCTCCCGCTTCGTTTGGTTAGTTTTTCAAGTGATGGCTAGAGTATTAATAGGACAGAAATTCCAATATTTTATTACGTAACCGCCCGTAATAATATGAATGTGATGTATCACCACCTCTCCATACACTTTACTCTCCCCATAGACTTTAAGAAACCTCTGGTGGATGTGAAAACGATACGTGGAAATCGGAAAGCCTGCCACGCGCTATTCCTACCGATTCGGCCCACTGTGCGGCATGCAGGGCGTGCTGAAGGAGCGGCATAGAGCAAGGCGGCGGCGCCCCGCGGCCCGACCACTGTCCGAGGCTTCGTCGCCGGCTGCGGCTGCTGCGGGAGAAACGGGTGTCTGTGGAACGGAGAAGAGGAGCCTCGCTCTAATATCAAGCGTAAATCAAGTGGCTCCGTGCTCTTGAAACAGCGAGCATGAAGAGACACTAGCATCTACGTGCGTTCAGTCACGTCACGTCGGCGTGCACTGTGCAGGTCGAGTAGTCGCCTGTGTCGGTTGCAGAATCATGCCCAGTTATAGAACCATGGGAAATGGTTTCCACTTTTTTCATCATAATGAAACGGCGCGATGTTAAGAAAGCACTTTCAAACTTCCCCAAAATATTGTTTTAATTAATTTAGCAGAGCTGTTCTTACTCCTGGTGTTGTCATACGTCTATAGTTTTGAGTCAGTGAAGGGACGAGTATTAATTGAATTTCTCATGTGATAGAGATTTGTTAATCGAAAACTAAAAATGTTCCTCGAAGGTCTCCTCCACGGGCATAAGAAGGCGAAGATCCAATCGACTCGTTACGTTTTCTGCCGCCCGACCATGAAATAAAACGCTGTTCTCGGCTTTCGCTCCCGCGCACGTGCTTCCGCGCCGCGTAGCGCAGGTAGCAGCGAGCAGCCGCGCGCGACCGCCCAGCGGCCCTCGAAAGAAGCCCTCTCCGGAAGGAAGGTGCGGTGGGTGGCCCGCCAGGGATCGCCTTACGGCCACGTGCGTGCCTTAACCCATATCCCCCTCTGGCGCACGCTTCCGCCACTCCTTTATGTGGATGTTGTCTCTGCAAGCGTAGATTTTGACATGCGGCAGATCTGCCGCTATCGTTCGTTCTTCTTCCCTGTTTACTCTGTGTGGCTTCCTCAGCTGCACTTGTTCAAAACACGTTCGCAGACCCCGAGTCTTGAGTTCTCCCCGGCGGAGTGCCATCTCCTAGTGGGTGTCGATGTAACCTCGCCGCAGGTCGGCGTTTGCGCCTGGCGTATCCGTTGCAACCGCGGTGGTGGCGGCGGCGGCGGCGGCCGGTCGAGCGTAGCTCCAACGTCGGCGTGTGGCAACGCGCGCTTTGTTCTCAAGAAGCTCTACTCGGTCGCTGCCGCCCGTCCCGCCCCTCGGCCAGCGTGGCCGCAATCGGTAGGCGGCAATTGTAACGATTAACCGCTCGTAATGTAGTCGTTACTTATCATTCAGGACGGGAAGGGCCGGGGACGCCGCGGCTTTCGTAAGGCTGGCGGGAGGGCGGGCGGACGCCGCGCCGGGAGGGGAGCCGCCGACTCGGCCCGTCGGGGGCAGCGAGGCGGCGAGGCCTCATCGTGCTGCGATCGTGACCCTCCCCCTCGGACCCCGCCCGCTCCCTCCTGCCCTTTCCGCCCCGCCACGCCCCGTCTCGACTCGTCTCGCTTCGCCTCGCCCCGCTCCGTCCCCTCGCCGGCGCTGCTTCTCCGTTTCGTCACGCCGCCCCCGTCTGCTTAAACCTGCCAATCGCGAGATAATCTCAGGCCTGATTTACTGTACCGGTGTGTGCGTGTGCGTGTTGTAACTTCTGCGACTGGCGGAAAACGTTCGCGAAACTATCATCGAATGATACAAACGAGACTCACGTTCCTGACATTTGGCATCCTGGTTCTATTTGTGCTGAAAGAAACCGCCGCGCCGTCCCAGATCTTAAAAAGGTTTATCTTAATCATTGTAATAATGGAGATATCAAGATCCGTCGCGTCTTCGGCGAGAGCCCTGCGTGGTTTCCCACGCGGCGCTCGGACAGGTGCTGCAACGATGAGAAATCGTAGGTAATTAGATATAGCGTTACTGGTGGCATCCGGGCTTAATCGGAAATTCTTTGTTCCAGATACAACGAATGGTCATCAGCGGAGGGAACTTCAAGCCCGACACCCTTAAACCAAAAGAGGTGGTGTCGTTGTTGCTGGACGACGAGGAAATCGAAAAGAAGTGTGAGTAGTGTCAGATGACTAGTATGATCTCAAAGATTGTCTTTGAGGCTTTCCAATATTCGAGTATTTCTTTGGAGGAATTGAGTATTTAATTCTCTGCAGCATATAAAAAAATACCAATTGATGAAGTGTAATTTAACAATGATTTAAAATTCTCATTAACAACACGTGAACTTTGAACTGCGAATTGAATTGTCATGTAGTAGAACAGTACAAATCCCGGTCGGAGGGGATAGAACAAATATCCCGGGAGAAAAATAAAAATATTGGGGCAAAAATACTCTTGTAATATTGCATTGCGCAGTACTTTAATTAGGAAAATATTTTGTAATAGCAATTTTTTATATTTTTACTATCGTGGGTTAAAACGTACAACCTCAGAGGTGGTTGCTATAATAGTAATAATAATAGTAATTATTATTATTATTACGTGATATGTACATTCATTCACACCTACATACATACAAACATACATATTACCCGGGAATTAAGCCATATAATAAGCATTTGAAGTACCGATTGGGAAATAAAGGAAAAAATGCAGGACAGAAGAGTTTCGTTTAAAAACGGGTAGATGGCATTGAAATGTACATGGAGTATTCATTTTCCTTAATTTTGTTCCGTTTGACTGTTAGTCAGTCGTTGAAAATCGTCTGGGCTTGCTTTCTCTTGGTGCATGCGGCGTGTCTGTAACTTCGCCTCCCTCTGTTTGCAGATCGCCAGCGGCAGGCGGAGCGCCGGCTGATGGAGGAGCAGCGAGCAGACTACTATCGGGACCGGGACCGCGAACGCAAGCGGAAGCAGTTCCTGGGTGTCGTCAAGGTGAGCGTGTCAGCGCAACAAATGTTTTAATACGTCACAGAAAACTTGTAAATCTGAAAACGAAGAAACGTGAACGCAAAGAAAGAAAAATGAACTTCCTCGCGGAGGCTCTGGCCAGCAAAAAATGGCAATCTCTAAGCATTTGAAGACGAGTTTTGTTGAATTTTCGTTCCATACTACCGTGAAATATAACTTTGATGAACAGTAATTGAAATGCCATACGAATTAATTAATGAAAACATTAAATAATGAAAACATGTTGAGGGTTTTATTTTGTGGAAAGTAAATTAGTAAAAGCAGTTTCTTTTGACAGTGAGTAGGTTTCAATCTCAATAGAGACAGTAATGTAATATATTGTTCCTGGGTAACCTTATAACTCTTGCCGTGAAATATGTGATGCAGAAACTTAGAAACATTTCCTTATGCCGCAGGAAATTAATCTTGACTGCATTTCCTACCGTGTTCTTCTACGTCGTTCCTCAGACTCACGAAACCCTTGCCGCGTACGGACGAGGCCCGCTTGAGCTCAGCTACAACGCGTGGCGAGCATGCAAATTCTCAGCCTTGTACTTGTCATAGGAGAAATGTATATTGCTCCGGAGCGATTAAGATGCTCGTCCCTCAGAATACCCAATAAGGAGGATTCCGGGGGTCGCGCCTGTTCGCGTGGCCCCGGCGGGGGCGGTAGTCCCCCGTTTGGGCAACGTGACGTGCCTCGAGCGGCTCCTAGGTGCAGACGGGCGCTCGGACGTAATTCTCTTTGCTTTTGCAGGCCGACGGCAAGCGCATTCGAGAAGACGGCGTGGAGGAAGGCTTCAACGCCGACTCGGGCCCTCCCAGCCCCAGCCAGAGCGAGGTAAGATCGCATTGCGCGTATCGGTTGCGCGATGGTGTAACGGTTAGCGTATCGGACTGGAATACCCAAGTTGGCGGGTTCAAAGCCGATCGAAGGGCAAAAAAACCTTCGTACGCCTTCCTTCGGAGGGGAAGTAAAGCCGACTGTCCCATGTTAGTAGATTTACTTGCATGTAAAGATCCTTGAGCCTAAATGACGCCTCTGAGCTAAATTGAAAATCATCTGTTTCTCAGCCAAGAAATACCTCCTTCCTCTGCTAGTTGGTGAAAGGAGCGTAGCGAAATGTACGTGGTCAGACGAAAGAGCGTGCCTAGTGGCCCGAGTCTCGCCACGTGAAATAAGGCATCAATTCAATTCAATTCATTCGCCTTCGTGGTAACGAGAAAATGCACTTAAATCCGCACAACTATCTTTTTTAAAGAAATTTTCATTTCGGAAAATTTGGACAATTTAGTGTGTTTTCTCTCTGCTCTCTACAGCGAATTATTCTATATTTACTCCCATACTTACAATAACCGTCCACCTCTTCGACCTGAAACGCTCGAGTGCCATCTGTAAAGCGGGGTTGACCCATCAGTAAAAAGCTGCTTCGAAAACGAATCCTGTGCGGATTATGTTCTATGTCAGTTGTGAACTGGTTCTTGCAGGTGTCGCAGGGCAGCGGGGCGCTACCGCAGGATGAAACGAGCAACGAAGGACTGGTTGTCGACGTGGAAAGTCCGGCGTCGTCACAGCCACAATGTGAGTACCAAAAGCAGTCCATCGGTTTTGCTAGATTTAGTTGCTGCCTATCGGTGTTATGTAGGTGAAAATGTCTTTTGCTGAGTGTGTATGATCTAAGAAACCCATTTGCTTGGTAAGCTAGTCATCCCAACTATTTTAATTGGTGCATTTCTTATTATGACAAAAAATAATTCGCCTGAAGAATGAATTCAATGTTTGTACTATTATCACGTTTTGTATAATCTTGTGCGTTCCGACTTTTAATTATTGTTTAATTATTTTTTATTCGTTATTAATTGTAAAATAATTTTGGTCTTCAGAAAAAATTAATAGAGAATTTTGCGAATTTATCATCCGAAGAGAAAATTTGTGTTGTTGTTGCGAGACATTAAGATAAAGTTACGAAGATGTAGGATTCGGAGAGCTGGCCAGGAAGTTTGGAGGCTATTCCTTGGGGGGCGAGGAGGCAGGTCGTTACAGGAAGTACTTTCCACCCTTGGGCGAGCGCGTTGATTAAACCGGCCACTCTTGCCAGGAGCCCGGCTGCCTTCCCAGTTGGCCTGTGTAAGCGGTGGGAGCCTGGGGGAACGGGCGGTAAACATGACCGGCGCCAAAAGTCCACCGTCTGCGCGCAACTTTGCTTCCCTTTGGGAATCTACTTCCTCTCTTCCCTATCCATTGTAGTTATTTCCCTCATCGCAGGTTTGTTCTTTCATTGCGTGCTTGTTATAACCATTGTTTCGACGCGACCGTCCATCGCGTCAAATAGCGAAAGGTAGTATGTGAATATGCGGAGACGCTCTTCAGAGTTATTCATGAAAGGCTGTACATGTCATTAGCAGTGAATTGCATGAAACATTCTATTGGGCATTCTGAAGATAATGAATCTGAGGTCGAAGGACAAAGCCCCACCGTGACTTGCTGTTACAACCAACGAAGCCAGTTACTATTATTGAGGGCACCTCGAGAGGAGCAAAGAGATGAAGTATTGTGGAGGATTTAATGATTATTTCGAGTTTTTGGGCGCGTCAACTATTATGGTCAGTATTCCCGTAAGATTATTGCATGTTGTATCAGTAAGAGGCACTGCAATGACATCAATTGATGTAGTGAGCCACCTTGACCGGTCTGTTAATATTGAATAAAAATAACACGTTCCCTTCTAAAATTCTTTGGGAAAGCCCATAAGCGGCAGTGGATACATTTTCTTTATTTCTTCCACTGATCTTCCAGCTTTGCGACGTTGTCTTCCTCGCTTTTACTTTGTGGATTTTGACTTTTGCCACAGCAAGTATTAGAATATTTATTCAATTCGAGTAAGATCATTATCTTGTTTTGAAGTGTGAACCTTGAGATGGAAGCTTTTTTGTTGTTGTCTCCGTTCGTCCTTAATCGACAATAAATTTAATTCGTCCACAGTCCATCCACCGTTGTTTCAACCCATCGCTTCATTCGCGTTCCCTTGAGGTTTTCGGTTCTATCATTTCGACTTTTCCAGCTTTCCCCTCTCGTGGGCAGCTGCCAACCCAACCACTTCCTCGCGTCGCGGAGCGAGCTTCGCGCCCTTCGTCGCCGCAACTCGTGCGGGTTCATGCAAATGAAGGCCGTCGGCGCGGTGGCGGGCGCGCGCGGCCGTTTGCAATTCGGTCGGTCGCCGGTGGCGGTGGCGGTGGCGGCGTTAAGATGGATGGCCCCGGCGGCGGCACGTCGGTCGCCCATTTGCATACCGGAGGACGTCTTCGTGTACCTATCGTTAGCCGGCGAGGGGGAGCCGCTGACGGACGGGACGCCACTTGGCGATTGCGCGGGCGCGAGGGAGGCGCGCTCGCCGGGGATGAGGGCGGAATGAGCACGCGGAGCTCGCGGAAGGTTATTCTGTGTGGTGTTCAGTAAACGAAATCAACGATATTCTATTAAAAATTACTGTACCGTCCATTACGAAATGGTCGTTTTGTTGGAATTACGCGGTGTCAACTCAAAAGTTTGTCTTCCCGAGGTTATTCTTATGTTCTCTCTTCTGCCAGGTGGCAAAATTAACTTTTTGATGTGCTGTTCTCAACCTTCACAGACAATTTAAGTAATTTCGATAGACCAACGGGTATTAAAAAGCACATTTTTTTATATTGGTAACAAAAATCTAATTGTAGTATTTTTTTATCTGACACTGATCGACGTGGGTTTCGACGTCATCTACGAAATTTGTGTATTGAGATAGTGTATTCCGCCATGTCTCATATATTGCACTCCAAAACTAAGAAATCACATCTTTGAAAGTCAAAATTACAAAAACTAGCCTATGGTGATGAGCGTTGTTTCCAAGGAGGGGCCTCTATTAGAGCTTCTGCCCCCCACCCCCCCCTGCAGTCGCTGACAAACTCACAAGTTTTGCTTATTTCCTATATGTCCGGAAATATTTGTCAATGGAAATCAATGAAAAATCAATGGAAAATATAGGACCGATTTTCCATTCAGGAAACTCAAATCTTCTCAGGAGTCAGGCTTTGAGAACGATTTACTAATGAAAAGCGGATGGAGTAAGAGAATTTCCAGAAATTCTATTAATGTCGTTCCCAATGAATCGCAGGGCAACTGCAGAACCAGTCAGGAGCCCGCGAAAAACGGGCATGATGCCAGATTGAGACATTCAAACCGCAGATTCCCTCCAGCGAAATTATCATAGAGATGATCCAATGTTTGGATATTTCACTACTTGCAACTTTCATTACTTTTTAATTCGTATTCCAAGCTCGCATATCTTCAGAAGCTTATACACCGTTCATTGAAGGATGTCCGGAATTTATTTGCTGTTTTGAAGAAATAGGAATAGGAACACAAATATATTGCAAAAGAAGTATTAAAATTGATGTATAACATGTTTAATTTACGGTATAGTTAGGAGTCAAACCAACAGAAATTATTATTTAAAAACGCGCGTACGCGATTTGCCACGGGGCTCGTGGAGCCTGTTTGGATCGCTTACTGAGAAGCCAGCTGCAGCAACAACCTGCGAAGCGACGATCTCTTGTGGCGTTGTCTTGAGAGGAACCGCTCGTCGCGGAGGATTTGGCGACTGTTAACGCGGAGGGCGTTCCATCACGCGGCTTGCTCGGAGGGGGCGCGGCGCGGCGCGAAGCGGGGGAGAGCGGCGAGGCGGCGGCAGGAAATAACTCCAGCGGCAGAGCAGGAGGCGCGGAAGAAGGACTGCGCCCGGGGCGGCCCGCCGCTAAATCCGGACGCGCGCGCCTAATCCGTCGGGTCGCCCCCGCCACCTCGCGACAGCGGCGGCGCGCTTGCTTTTTTAGCGGGCGGAGCAGAGCCGAGCTGGGATACGAGGGGCGCCACTCGGCGCGGCACGGCTCGGCGGGGAGGGCCTTGTGGAGCGCCGAGACTTTGCCTCGAAATTCGGTCTCCGCACGGGCCCCTCTGTCTTTATTCCTCTGTGTTTTTTTTAACCTGCCGCGCCCTTCTGCTGGCATTTTTCTGCGTTGTCGTGGTGTATTTCCACTTGTTTTTAATATTTTCTTGTACGCGTCTTTAGAGTTCAGTGGGGGAATATCGTTATTCAAATGAACGTTCTCCATGTCGCGGCAGGAAGTCGATTTCTCCAGGAATGGCGCGATGAAAGATAATAACCGCAATTTATAGCTGATTTGCCTTTGCAAATATTTTTTATTTCACCGGTTCTACGCTTAAACGGTTTTAATTTCCTACTTTTAATGGTTTTCGAAACTAATAGTGGCGGAGATATTGATATATCTTTAATCCCAGACTCTCATCTAAGAGGAAAATCAAACGAGTAATAGGGCTCATCACCAAATATTGAATGTCAGTGGTGACAGGTTCAAGTCATAATTCGCTAGTACCAATTTTTTCTTCATTCTTAGTATCTAGTAGGCTATTTTAGGTATCTTCTTGAAGGTTTAAATGATATATTCAAGCAAAGTGTAAACAAGAATAAGCAACAATAAGTAAATATACATATGTAGTACCCTTTCCTTTATTTTTATCTATTTAAAAAAGACATTGGTGGGAATGAAAATATTTTTTAACGCCCAGGCTTTCCGTTCAGATTCGTTCTCGGTCACATTTCATAATTTTTTATTTAAATGAAAGGTAGTGGATCTGAAAATGAGAAGATTGACCGCTTATTTGCTGCCATCTGTTCATTCGGTCATTTCTATGACCAATTGTATGTAGTTATAGTTAGCGAAGCGAAGACGCGATTTTTTTTAAAGTTTGGAGATTGTGTGTACGCAAAGATTAGTGAGCTTGTATAAAGAAATGTTCACCAGGCGTGTAATAAGTCCTTTTACCAGGAAAATGTACAGTGGCTACCGTGTCTTTTTAATAGTGAACTGTGAATAATTCCAGAAATTATAAACCTCCCATATTTCAGTAGTCTTAGAGAGTTTAGAATGACATGAACCAATATATTTGGGGTTTTCTGTTTTTCGTTTAGTGCGTATGTAGTACTTGTCTAGTCTTTCCTTTGTGCGATGTATTCGCTCGTGATCAGCTAGTTCTTAATAATAATGCACTAGTTGCTAAGAAACTTTAATAGAGTATTTTTTATGATACATTTTGCAATGTTGCTCTGTAGTGTGTGAAAACATTACTTGAAGGAAGAGTAGGCATCCAGTCCTCTAACCTGCACCACCGTTTCAGAAAATTGTTTAATATTGCTCGAGTCTCTAAAGAAAAACTCTGGAGTATTTTTTGGGAATATTAATACCACACTTTTTGTATCCTCCAAATCCCATAGGTTTTGAACTTCGCGACCTTTCTTGTCGCCACCCAACTTGGGCCATTATTTTCACACCAGCTCCTTTTCCGCAGGGGCTGTATCTTTTCGGCGTCCTCCCCCTGCGGATTCTCGCGTCTCTGAAATTTATTTCCGTCTTCTCCCTCGGCACCCCAGAACTAAGCTGTTGGTTTTGTACTGATTAGCCCGCATTTAACTTTTCTTTCCCCCCGAAAACTCCGAAATATGCGGCGGGCGCGTTTATGTGACAACTTTC